GCGATGTCTTGTCCTCGGGCTGGGGAAGGCTCCTCTCACTCTAAAGTTTTATTAATAAAAAAAAGTGATGAAATCAACTTATATGCTAAAACTAAAAGAAATTTATGCATTTTTTAACCATTAATTTAATATATATTATATTACAGAATATAAAATTATCGAATAAGATGTATTGACATGAATACTTACGTTGATAGACTCTCTTTATGACACATAAGATAATATTTGTATCATATTATTTATCAAGTAATTCTATTTAATAAATTATTTAAATTTAATATGTTTGAATAATTATTTAAATTCAAATCAAAATCTATAAAATATTAAAAATTTTAAATAAATTTTAAATTCAAATATATTAAATTATAAATTATCTTTCTTTTTTAATTTAATCATAGTTTCAAATATATATAGGTTTAATAAACTTTTATTTGCTGTCAAATAATTTTATTTAATAAATTATATAAATTAAATATTTTTAGGTAACTATTTAAATTCAAATAAAACTTTACCAAAAACTAAAAATTTTATATAAATTTTAAATTTAAATATATTAAATCATAATTTATCTTTTCTTTTCAAATTTAATCATAGCTTTACACATATCTATATTATGTGTATGTGTCAGCTTAATAAATTTTTATTTATTGAAATCAAAATCTCAAAATAAAAATAAAGAGCTCATAAAATGAGAGCATCACCTCCTAGCCAATGTTATTTTATTTGTTATTATTAAAATTAGAAATTGAAGAATATAATCTTTTTTATTTGATAATTATGGTTTATGAGTTTTGACATTAATGGATAAAAATTAGAAAGAATAATAACCATATCATACTCATGAACAAATAAATTCAATTTATGCCTTTATTATTCTTTTATTTCTTTTATTATTTTTTTATTTTAAAAATAAGTTTGTGATGGTGATAGATTGTTTTTTCTTTGTTTTTGTAATATTGATTTTTTTTCTTTAGATTTCAATAATGAAAAGAAAATGAGCACACATTTAGATTGGTTTCAACTCGATAATAAGCATAGTTCATTATTTTTTTCATAGTCTATTTCTTTTTTTTTCATTTTCTCCTCTATTTGTTTGTTTTTTTTCCAACCTTGTATTTGGTTTTACTTACATTATATGATATATACATTTATATTTGATTTATTCTTAAAAAAATTGGTTCATATGTTTATATATATATATATATATATATATACATTCTCAATTTTTATATTTGGTCAAATCAAAATCTATAAAATATTGAAAATTTTACATAAATTTTAAATTTAAATATATTAAATTATAAATTACCTTTATTTTTAATTTAATCATAATTTCAAATATATATAGGCTTAATAAACTTTTATCCTCTGTCAAATAATTTTATTTAATATTTTTGAATAACTATTTAAATTTAAATCAAACTCTAACAAAATTAAAAATTTTACATAAATTTTAAATTCAAATATATTAAATCATAATTTATCTTTATCTTTTTAAATTTAATCATAACTCTACATATATATATATATATATATATATATATATATATATGTGTGTGTGTGTGTGTGTGTGTGTGTGAGCTTAATAAATTTTTATTTGCTAAAATTAAAATCTCAAAATAAAAGTAAAGAACTCATAAAGTGAGTGCATCACCTTCTAACCAATTTTATTTTATTTGTTATTATTAGAATTAGAAATTGAAGAATAAAATTTTTCTTTATTTGAGGATTATGATTTATGGATTTTGACAAAAATGGACAAAAGCTAGAAAGAATAATAACCACATCATACTCATGAATAAGTAAATTCATTTTATGCCTTTATTATTCTTTTATTTTTATTTTTTAGTTTTAAAATTAAATTTGTTATGGTGTTGGATTTTTTTTATAATATTGATTTTTTTTAGATTTCAATAATGAAAGGAAAATGAGCGCATATTTGACTGGGTTTCAACTAGGTAATAGGCATAGTTCATTACTTTTTTATATTATATTCTTTTTTATTATTTTCCTCTACTTGTTTGTTTCTTCAAACTTATTATTTGATTTTATTTGTATTATATGATATATGCATCTAGATTTGATCTATTCTAATATAAATTGGTTCATATGTTTATATATATAGATATATATATTTTGTTAAACTAAATATTTGCTATGCATAAGTATAAGAGATCTAAATTATATATAATTCTCAATTTTTATATTTAGTTTATGCTTTAATCAAAGTTGTTAATATCGTACAGGATAATATTTTAATTTTTTTTAAAAATATGGTATATATCGGTATAAGTTATTTTGACATATTATTTTAGATTTTTCGGTTTAGTACAAATATATTTATTAACGTTTATGAACTTGTACATTATAATATTATTAATAATCTACAAAATAAATGTGCAATATATTCAAAAATCAAATAAATAAGTTTAAAAACATAAGAAATAATATCATAAATTTTTTTTGATATTTTTTAATACTTAATCTGATTATATAATATTTAAATAAGCATTTTTCATATAAATATTAAGATAAAAACAAAGAAATGAAAAAAATTAACCAAGACTTTATGATTGTTAAACTTTATAAAAGGAATATAACTGTTTTCTTGAAAAAAATTGAAATACTTATAAACTTTGGTTTGAAAAAATAAAGTATAAAAAAATTAAAATAAAAAATAAAAAACTCAACTTTTAAGAGTTATTTTGTTAATTAATTTTATTTTTATTAGGGTAAAAATAATTAAACAACAAAAGAACGTTAAAAATTATAAAATATATTTCACATTCATGTACTAGTCGAAACATGTTATTTCATCAAAATTTACCATGTTATTTCATCGAAATTCACCAAAACTGACCGAAACTAACGAAAACAATCGATATTAGCTGGTGCCAAATCTAATACAAAAAATTATTCTTAGATGTATCATATTTTGGTATAACTAGAGCATACCAACTAATATGACTATTACCGAAATGAAATTAACAACTATGGTTCTAATAAAAAAAACAACTACATATGTTAAAGTATATATATAAAAAAAATAAGAACTAATAAAAAGCAAATGGTTATGAGCAAATTAATAATTATGTTTTGTAGTTCAATAATAATAATAATAATAATAATTATTATTATTATTATTATTATTATTATTTGATATTTTATTTTTGGTTTAGGTTTATAAGATTTAATAATTTAAGAATATTTTGCTAATATAAATGTCTTTTACAATTTAATTAAATGATATTTATTTTTTATATATCCATATCAATATATAAACAATTATTAATCTTGACTTTTCTTTTAATAAGCCAAAGTAAGATTTTATTAAAAATAATGAAATAGTTATAAATATCCAACCACAATTAAGAGTACAATACAGCACAGAAAGAATATAAACCTGAAAGAAATTATATTGACATCACGTGAGGAATCTGAAAGTGTAGATAACAACATTTTTAACACTAAAAAATAATAATAATAAACCATTAATAAAAACTTGATTATTTAAAACTAAACTTTGCTTTTTTGATTGAACAAGAAAGAACGAGTAGCAAAATTTTTGTTGTTTAGTAAATGAATTGAAAAATAATTTTTATGAAAAAGAAAAAAAATTTTATAATTCTTTGAAATTTTACAAAAGCTTTGACTATGAAAAAGTATTACAATATGTATAAACTCTTATTTAGTTGTACCTTAACATTTATGAATGTATGATTACATATAATAAATCAATAAATGTTTGCATTTTTTTATTAAAGTGATATAAAAAATTATGATTAATAAATTTATTTTTAATTATTAAAAATTATACAAAAATCATGTGCATGGTATAGGTTAAAAAACTAGTTTTAATATATTTAAGGAATGAGATTAGATTTTTTTTTTTCTATTTTTATTTATCTTTCTCATCTTTTGTATCTATTAAAATCAATATTTCAAAAAAAATATGTAAAACTTTTTAAGTTTATATTGGGTAAACTGATCCCTTCGCTTTGATGTGTTGTTAGCATATAATGCTATACATTGCAATGACACATCATAAAAAAATAAATTTTAAATATATTTTTAGGATTAAATGTATTGACATTTTAAAATTTTAAAATTTTTAAAATTAATTTTTTAATAAAGTGTTATTGTGTGGTACATTACTAGTATATAGAATTTATATACTAATGTGTATTAAATATAAACTCTTAAATTGCCACCTCATTTATTAACAAAGTTAAAATTTTAAAATCTTTTAAAATAAATATTAATTCTTAAATTTTAAATATTTAATTATTTAATACAAATTAATGAGATAACTGATTTGTAACGTGCTTATAGTATATAATGACTATAAATTGATAGTATATTGAATATAAATCTTATTTAAAAAATAAATATCAAATTTAAGTAAGTCAACAAAATGGTTAAGAGAGAATATATTACATGATATCGGATAAGTGTTAGGTTTTAGTTTTAAACAAAATAATATCCTAAAACAAAATTTCTATAATTATATATAATTTATAACTGATGGATTAAATTAGGTTGAATTGTTTTATTTTAATTATAAGTTATGAGAATAATGACATTATAATAATTAAATATTACATTTAAATATAAAAAATTATATAATTATCAAATAAATATATCAACTAACAAACAAAAATATAGTTGATAAATTTAACTAAACTCACTAATGAATTAGGACCACAAAGTTTTAATATTTTTTCTTATCACTAAACCATGCTTTATTGGCTGGTCGGATTGGCTTTTTAAATACATATTTTAGGCTCGATGTAAATTTAAACGGACCAATTTTGTTCTACAATGGGACAAAGGAGAAGAGGTCACCATACGCGTGGCAGTTAACAAAGACAAAGGAAAAGACGAACTATTGTCCATGGATTAACATTTTCAACGGAAGTTTCGTAGAAAGAGTAACAATCCCAAAAATAACATAGAATATTAATTTTTTTCTCAAATGACCCTAACAACCATAGAGCATAAATTTGCATTTGATGTCCAATGTTTGTCAAAACCTTTTTCCCTATTGCATATCTGGTTGACTTCCATGGCTTCCATACACTTATCTGAAGCATCTTCTTCTACCCCAAAATCTAAATATGATGTGTTCCTAAGTTTCAGAGGTGAAGACACACGCAAGAACTTCACCGATCATCTCTACGCAGCTTTGATAAGAGCTGGAGTGAACACCTTCAGAGATGATAATGAACTTTCAAGAGGAAAAGACATCTCCTCAGAGCTGCTCAAGGCCATCCAAGAATCAACAATTTCTGTTGTGATATTTTCGAAAGGCTATGCTTTTTCCAGGTGGTGCCTTAATGAGCTTGTGAAGATTATTGAGTGCAAAAACATAATAGGGCAGACTGTTATTCCAATCTTCTACGATGTTGATCCATCTAATGTTCGGAAACAGACAGGAGGTTATGCAAAAGCTTTTGCTGAACACGAAGAACGTTTTGAAGCAGATACGGAGATGATTAAAAGGTGGAGGACAGCTCTTTCAGAAGCTGCAGATTTATCTGGTTGGGATCTACAAAACGTTGCAAACGGGTATTTAATTCTTTCTAATTAAGATAAACTATCCCAAAAATATGTTTAAGACATGGATGACTGATTTATACATAACAAAAATGTAAATTGAACAGAACCAATTTTGGATAACCAAATTAAAACATTATTCTTAATTGTGTATAAGATTATACTTGATGAAAGTTGATAATTCATAATTCACGAAGAAAAATCTATATTTGTTTTTTATTATATGAATTACATTCACATTTAAATACTCTTCTGATATAATTGTCCTGGTGACGTAAAAATAAAGCATAATACTTGATTGCAATTTTGGATTCTATTTATTTCATAATTTGAGTCTGTACTCATTGGTTCGGGCAAACCTTACCGATCACAACCTGGATACATTGTCTTTACCATCTACTATCTAAATTTGCAGGCATGAATCAAAGTTTATCCAAAAGATTGTGGAAGATGTCCTCAGAAAAATAAACCGCGTTTACTTGCATGTTGCCACTCACCCAGTTGCTTTAGAATGCCGTGTTGAAAAGGTAATAGAGCTATTAAGCATGGGGTCTGATCATGTTCGCATAGTGGGCATCTATGGAATGGGTGGTATAGGAAAGACCACCATAGCAAAAGCTGTCTACAACTCTATCTGTGATGGGTTTGATGGAAGCAGTTTCCTTTCAGATGTTAAAGATATCTCTAAGAAAACTAATGGTCTTGCAAGCATACAACAACAACTCCTTTCTGATATCCTGAATTTGAAAAGTATTCGGATTCATAATGTTGACAGAGGTATCAATTTGATCCAGGAAAGGCTTTGTCACCAGAGAGTTTTAATTGTTCTTGATGATGTGGATGATTCAACACAATTGAATTCACTGGTTGGGGATCTAAAGTGGTTCGGTACAGGAAGTAGGATTATTGTTACAACAAGGGATGCACGTTTGCTGACTGAATTAGAGGTGGACAAAAGATATAAAGTTGAAGAATTGAATCCTGAGGAGTCTCTCCAGCTTTTCAGTTGGCATGCATTTAGGAGGCCTAATCCCAAAGATGGTTACTTCCAACTTTCCAAGAGTGTGGTGGATCATGTTCAAGGACTTCCCCTAGCTTTTGAACTTCTTGGTTCTCATTTGTTTAAAAGAAGCCAGCTTGAATGGGAAAGTGTGGTGGAAAAATTGCGATACATACCTCATGACCAAATTCATAAGAAGCTTAGGATAAGTTTTGATGCACTAGATGACCAAGTGAAAGCCATATTCCTGGATATTGCATGCTTCTTTATCGGACTGGATAAAGAATATGTCATGAAAATACTAGATGGTTGTGGTTTCTTTCCAGTAATCGGTGTTAGTGTTCTCTTGGAGAGGTCTCTCATAACAATTGATCACCAAGGTGGTCATACGCTTATAAAAATGCATGGCCTACTTCGAGACATGGGAAGAGAGATTGTTCGTGAAGAATCACCAAATCATATTGGAAAACGCAGCAGGCTATGGTTTCATGAGGACGTAGTGAGCGTACTAAAAACGCACAAAGTAAAAGTTTACTAAAAACATTTCATACATGTAAGTACATAAGTATTGTGATTGATCACAAGGATGATATTCTTTTTTTCATTTTTAAGGGAACTGAATCTGTGGAAGGTCTTAGCCTAGATGCATCAGCCTGCAGAGAAGATGTCATTGTGAGCAGTACCGAAGCATTGGCAAAGATGATCAATTTAAGATTGCTGAAAATTAATTCCATACGTTTCACTAGTGGGAGTTATGAAAAGTTTTCCAAAGAATTAAGATGGCTTTGTTGGCATAAGTGTCCTCTAAAAGTTTTACCGCCCAACCTCGATTTAGACAACATGGCTGTTCTTGACATGCGATTTAGTAATGTCAGAAAAGTTTGGAAGGAGACAAAAGTAATTAAAATCACTTTGCAGCACAATGACGCTCATTTTCTTTTCAGTATAAATAACAATTTCATGTTCTTTTTTAATTTTATTACATACTAACTTATTCTCTTTTTCTTGTAACAGTTTATCCACAAGCTGAAAATACTAGATCTCAGCTATTCAATATACCTTGTGAAGACACCAAAATTTGCTGGACTCTCAAACCTAGAAAGACTAGAATTTGAAGGTTGCACAAGTTTGACTAAGGTTCATCAATCCATTGGGCAGCTGGAAAGACTTGTAATCTTGAATTTGGCAGATTGCAACAACTTAAGGGAACTTCCAGACAGTGTCGTAACGTCTAGATCCGGGGATCTATCGCTAGACATTGATTTTCAGGGAGTCGCCACCAATCTTTTTTATCTAGGTGCGATTGGCCACCTAAGGAATCTGCCCTTTTAGGGAACACCTAAGCTTAAGGGTCCCTAAAAGAATAGGTTCGGGTCTGCTTAACCAGAACAGAGTTCGGGAGTTCGGTTACGTGTGAGGAAGGTTATAGCACCCTCACAACGCCCATCAAAAGATGGTACCAGCTTGAATTTGTGTTATCCAAAAGCCTTAAAATTTTACCAAGTAGTTAGTTGTTGAAAATTATTCTCAATTGACTCTAATACTTTTAGCAGAAAATTGAGAAAATTCCCTCACCTCAAGAGTATGCAAGAAAAACTACTGTTTCACTTGCAGAGGCTCCGTCGTCGGATTATTTAAAGAAAAATCAAGATCAACCAATTAATTAATTATCGAAAATTATTCTCAATTGACTCTAATACTTTTAGCAGAAAATTGAGAAAATTCCCTCACCTCAGGAGTATGCAAGAAAAACTACTGTTTCACTTGCAGAGGCTCCGTCGTCGGATTAATTAAAGAAAAAAAAAATCAAAATCAGCCAAGTAATTAATTATCGGAAATTATTCTCAATTGACTCTAATACTTTTAGCAGAAAATTGAGAAAATTCCCTCACCTCAGGAGTATGCAAGAAAAACTACTGTTTTTACTTGTAGAGGCTCCGTCGTCGGATTATTTAAAGAAAAATCAAGATCAACCAATTAATTAATTATCGAAAATTATTCTCAATTGACTCTAATACTTTTAGCAGAAAATTGAGAAAATTCCCTCACCTCAGGAGTATGCAAGAAAAACTACTGTTTCACTTGCAGAGGCTCCGTCGTCGGATTAATTAAAGAAAAAAAAAATCAAAATCAGCCAAGTAATTAATTATCGGAAATTATTCTCAATTGACTCTAATACTTTTAGCAGAAAATTGAGAAAATTCCCTCACCTCAGGAGTATGCAAGAAAAACTACTGTTTTTACTTGTAGAGGCTCCGTCGTCGGATTAATTAAAGAAAAAAGAAAAAAAAATCAAGATCAAAATCAAAGTCAAATAAAAAAAATTCAAAAAAAAAAAAAAAAAAAAAAAAACCTGGAACGGCTCGGCTATCGGCTCGGCTCGGCTCGGCTCAAGGAAGAAAAAAACGGCTCGGAGGAGCGGCTTGGAAGCTCGGCTCGGCTCGGCTTGGCTCGGAGGGAGGCTGGCACGCGCGGGTCAGAAGCGGGTCGACGCTCGGGTCGGGTCGGGTCACGGCAAAACGCGCGGATCCTCTGGTTACTTAAGGCCAAAACGACGTCGTTTTTGGAGGGTATTTAAGGCACTCTCCTCTGTTTTTCGGCAGAATGCTCCTCCCCTCTCTCTCTCTTCCTTCCCTTTTCTCTCCCTTCTCTCTAGAAAACCGAAGAACACCGATGCCGGATTCTGGAAATGTCGCCGGAATCTGGAATTTTTGCCGGAATATGGCCGAAATCTTCGCCGGTTTCTGGGAATCTCGCCGGAAACTGGGTTGGTCACCGGAATCTTCAAGTTTCGCCGGAATTTGTGCCGGAAAATTCAAATGTCGCCGGAATTTTCGCCAGAATCTGGAAATTTCCCAGAAATTTCCAGAAAAAAATTTTCGCAAAAAAATTTCTAAAAAATTTTTTCAGATCCCTACAGCTATCCTAACACTTCTCGACCTTCTTTAGCCTTCGAAAACTCTTTTAAACACTTTTTTTCTCTCAAATTCAGTAGCTTTGCTCCCTGTTTTCTGTGTGTTCTTGAACTGTTCCAGGAGGTGCTTTATATAGGGATTGATCAGGAGTTTCTGATCAATCCCAACTCCTCCTTGGACGGGGATTCAGTCTTTGAATCCAATTGGACTCTTTAGATTGAATCCCCACTCCCAGTAGGATTCTTCAGCTTCAATCTCAACCTTTCAAAAAAAATCAAATAAATATAAAAAAAATAATAGATAATTAGAACAGATAAATAAAAAGATATTATAAAAAAAAAAAAAATCTGATAATCAGAAAAAAATCAGAACAGATAATTTAAAAAAAATAATAATAAAATAAGATAAACCCAAAAATATCTTACAAAAATAATAATAATAATAATAATAATAATAATAAATATATAACTATATAAATAATATACATATAAATCTAATCTAAATAAATAAATACAGATATACATATATTAATAATAATAAATATAAAAATACAAAAGAAAAGAAAAAAAAAGGAAAAAAAAATAATAATAATACATGATTGAATTGGGCCTTACCCATTTGGGCCAGGCCCAAATGATCTGGGTCAGGCCCAATTGATCCGGGTCAGGCCCAATTGATCCGGGTTCGGACCTGATTGGGTGTCTACAGCTGCCCCTCTTTGCACATTTTCTGTGAAACAGAAATTGCGCAAAGACGTAGACACCCAATCAAGACTCAACTCAACATTTTTATTTTTGATTTTTTTTTTATTTTTGTTTTTATTTTTTTTTGATTTTTTTTGATTTTTTTTGATTTTTTTGTTTTTTGTTTTTTTGTTTTTTTTGTTTTTTTTTTTTGTTTTTTTTTTTGGCCGAAGCTCCTCTAAACAGAGACTCAACGACTTTTGAAAGTAAATTGCTCCTCTAAACAGAGGCAACGGACTTTGGAAAGTAAATTGCTCCTCTAAAAGGCAACACGATTGGAAAATTGCCCTAACAGGCACGGACTTTGGAAAAATAAATTGCTCCTCTAAACAGAGGCAACGGAACTTTGAAAAATAAATTGCACCACGACTTTTGAAAAGTAAATTGCTCCTCTAAACAGAGGCAACGGAACTTTGAAAAATAAATTGCTCCTCTAAACAGAGGCACCACGACTTTTGAAAAGTAAATTGCTCCTCTAAATAGAGGCAACGGAACTTTGAAAAATAAATTGCTCCTCTAAACAGAGGCAACGAACTTTGAAAAGTAAATTGCTCCTCTAAATAGAGGCAACGAACTTTGAAAAAATAAATTGCTCCTCTAAACAGAGGCACCACGACTTTGAAAAGTAAATTGCTCCTCTAAACAGAGGCACCACGACTTTGGAAAAATAAATTGCTCCTCTAAACAGAGGCACCACGACTTTTGAAAAAGTAAATACTCCTAGACGATCATGTCCGAAGGAGTTGAAAGTTGTGTTTGAAGGGATTTCAGGAGATTATGCCCAAAGGTCTTATAAATCAACCCCGATACCAAGAGACATCCTATTTCAAGGATTAGGAACTTACCTGACAAGTTTCTTCTCAAACTTGCAAAGTCTTTTCATATCTGTCTTTTTCATGTGGGATGTTGGAACACCCCTGCTTCTTGAATTTGTACACTATACTTTCTTGAAAGTAGTGTATGCTATGCAAATGCATATGAATTTCAATGCATGCTATGCAAATGTTGGTCAATTAATTCCTGTTCAATGTATGGTACTCAAGTTTCTCAAGCTCTTTTTTTCTTGGGTGTCAAGCCCTTTGATTCCTCAAGGATCCAATTGCACTGCTCTTCTAAGATCGAACCAGTGTAGCTCTCAATTGTCTCTTCCACTCACATTCTTCTTGTAAGAAATCTCTTCCTAGATTCAATTTCCTAATTAGGAACTGAACATGTCGATTCTGCCTTTCTCACTCTTGACTCATTCAATGTAATGTAAAAATCTTTCCTGTGGTTATTCATTCATCAATCATTATTTCAAATTCAAAAAGTAAGAATGCATTTGCACATTTCTTCAATGGTGGGGTATTAAGAAGAAAAGAATCTGAATGTTGAGAAACAGTCATAAGAAAAAGACACAAAGAATGGAATAGAATGTCTCTTATTAGCAAAATGTTGGCAAACTTTGGTCAAGAAATAATTACAAGGATAGGTATGGGGACAAAGCCCAAAATGAACAATCAGATAATCATGATAACACATCTCAAAGTCTTTTATGAAAACTCAACCCTCTGATGTATTTAACAACTTGGAACTCTTCCGAACTTGCTAGCCCCTATATCAGCAGACTTTTAAATTCGATGCCGTATCCTCCTTATCTAAGCTGCCTTTTCAGGTTTTCAACTTAGACAACCCCCTATGACTCAAACCGCCCTTTTTGGGTTTTCGCCTTGAGTCCTCCTTTTTCATTCACTTTTTCTTTTTTTCCATTTTTTCCATTTTTTTTCATTTTTCATCATTTTTCATTTTTTCCATTTTTTCCATTTTTTTATTTTTTTATTTTTTTGTATTTTTTTTCAAGCATAGTATTTCTTCACAGCATCAGAATTTACAGGATGGGGTAAATCGTTTCCATCCATCTCAGTCAGTATCAATGCTCCACCCGAAAAAGCCCGTTTCACCACATACGGCCCTTCCCAATTCGGAGTCCATTTTCCTCTACTATCGTGCTGGATTGGGAGAATTCTTTTCAAAACCAACTCTCCTTCTCGAAAGCAACGAGGCCGAGTCTTCTTATCATGAGCCCTCATCATTCTTCTTTGGTATAACTGACCATGGCACAGTGCAGTCAATCTCTTCTCTTCTATGAAATTTAACTGCTCATAACGTTCACTGAATCCATTCGGCTTCTTCTAACTCAACTTCTTTTAAAACTCTCAAAGAGGGGATCTCTACTTCCACTGGTAGTACAGCTTCCATCCCATAAACCAAAGAAAATGGGGTTGCCCAGTAGAGGTGCGAACTGACGTTCGATATGCATGCAATGCGAATGGTAACTTCTCATGCCAATCTTTTGTAAGTCTCGGTCATTTTCTCCAAAATCCTCTTTATGTTCTTATTGGCTGCCTCAACTGCCCCATTCATTTTTGGACGGTATGGTGCCGAGTTATGATGCTTGATCTTATATTGAGCACATATTTCTTGCATCATCTTGCTATTTAGATTCTTGGCATTGTCTGAAATGATTTCTTCTCCGGAAGTCCATATCTAACAGATAATCTCCTTTTTTATGAACTTGCAAACCACGGAGTGTGTCACGTTGCATATGAAGCTGCTTCTACCCATTTTGTGAAGTAATCTATCATCACAAAAATGAATCTGTGCTGTTAGAAAGCCTTTGGGGTGATTGGACCAATGACATCCATGCCCCACATTGAAAATGGCCATGATGGTGCCATAACATGTAAAGCAGATGGTGGAGCAAGGATCTTATCAGCATATATCTGGCATTTATGACATTTACGAGCATAGTCGATGCAATCATTCTCCATCGTCAACCAGTAATATCCCGCTCTCATGATCTGTCTTGCCATCATATGTCCACTAGCATGTGCCCCACATATTCCTCATGCACCTCTTTAATGATTTTTTCGCTTCAGTCTCATCTACACACCTCAATAATACTTTATCTTCTTCTTTTGTACAGACATCCCCATCCAGGAAAAAGCTCATAGCCAATCA